AGATTCACGAGACATTGTGAAGCCATACACAGAAGATGAATATGCTGCAGAATATATTCCTCTCCCACTCGTTCTCCCCCCAGATTAGACTATTACTTTGCTTGCACTGTTCATCTTTCTGCAGTCATGTGTGCCTTTTTCTAGCCCCTGATTAGTATGTTTGCCAACCCCTTTAAGATGGAGAAATGTGTGCTATTTACCAGACTACACTAAGTTGCCAGCTGCTTTTTCAGAATTGAGTTGTTCCTAGGCTTTATGCCAAAGTCCCTGCCCACAGCAGCTCCAGCTGCTCCAAGTTGCTCAAGCAGTCCGTCCTAATCCATTGCTGCCATTTTTCCTTGCTGCCTCCTTCATGTTCTTGCATAACTCTGTGTTCGACTCCCTTCTTCCCCTCGTTTTCTTTTTCTGCTTCCTCCTTGCACTCTTTCCCCCCACATTCTTTTCTCCTCCTGCCACCTCCCCTTCTCCTCACCCCACAGGAACAGAGCAGTTTGCAAAGTAACTGGGGAGCATGGTCCAAGGCTGTTTTTGCTAACTTTCTTCTACCTTCAAGAAAGGAGTTTCCTTTTGAAAACAGTATACTGATAAAACTGGCCTTCAGAGGAATGGGAAGAGCAGCAATAACAATTTTGCCTGCTACAAATGACATAGAAATGGAAGAAATATTTGTTGCCTCCTAGCTGGCAGATGTCCTATCAGGTTTCTCAAAGAGCCCTGAACTCCACAGACATGATGAAGCAGCAAAAGTGCCAATCTCACTTCCACACCTCTGTGGAAGCATTTGTGGAAGGTGTCAGACCTGAAGGCCAAAAACTAACTCGTCAGGGAGAGCAGACGAAAGATAGGGAGCTGGTCAGAAAAAAATCATGATGATAATGACTATAAATGCAAAAAGAAATAAAAGGGAGGAGAAAAAGGCACCTATTCTATTCCTTTCCACGACACAGCCAACTTCAGGGACTAACTGGAAAGACAGAACATGAACCGCAGCATGAGCGCTCAGGCCCTCTCCAGGCAGGGACTCTCATTCTGCTGTGGGCTACTGGGAACGGAGGGGAATTAAGCACAATGCTGAGAGCTAACTGGGTGTTTTACTGACTCCATGAAAGACACTTGAGCCTCTGCCCAACTGAGCTCTTAGAAGCGTGCCCAGCTCTTCCACACCCTCATCGTTCCACTTAAGGGCCGACCAATCTTTCAGCAAACGTTCTTTTCAGAAAAATAAACATTCCAATGGGAAAAAAAAAACCCAAAACTTTATCCTTGTGTTATTTACAGGGAATAAAAGCTATATTCAGGCTTTCATCCATACAACACAAAGGAAAGAAGGTAGAGTGACAGATGCAAACTTTTTCTTCCTTTTCCCTACCATTTTATTGCTGTTTCTAAAAATTCTTAGTAAATAAAGCCCCACTACCCATCATGCAAAGGTGGGCATGTAGTTTCATTGACAGCCTCTAGGAAGGGGCAATTCAGAGAGATCTAGGTGGTGTCACATCCCCCAGCAAAATCCACGACCTGTGTCACCATCTCTGAGGAACTGCCAGCAGCATAACGGGAGATGCCAGCCACACCAAACTACCCTGGAAAACAGAATAAGATGGTTTTCTTTCTGCATCTGAATAATAAACCGCTTGTTTACACGAACACATGGTGCCTGAAAATTGCATTCCTTCACTTTCCAGCTGGTTCAAAAAGTAATGTCAGCAGAGACCAAAACTGACTAATGGCTGGCTGCTCAGCAGCTTGAACAAACCAAACAGCAGAACAAGTATCTACAGGACAACAGCAGCACTCGCATTTGTGGAAGGTGTCAGACCTGAAGGCCAAAAACTAACTCGTCAGGGAGAACAGACAAAAGGTAGGGAGCTGGTCTGAAACCTCCTCGTGGTGGCGCAGTGGGGTCAGCTGCCTTTCCACCTTGCTCTCAGCCCATGGGTAGCTACTTCCTCCTCCAACTTTGGAGCATCTTCCCATAAGTTGACACAGTCGCACACGTCCCTGTTCTGAATCTGCCCAGTTACCCTGGTTTGTTCTGCAGACTAGCACTGGGTGTCAGGAAGGAGCAAACTCCAACTTTCTGCTGTTCCAGTCATGTTTGAGCTATCTGCTGTTTGACTCAAGTTTTTGCACTAACCATAAAAAAAAGAATAAAATAAAAAAGCCTTCCTTAAGCATGAGAGACAGATGTAGACTGGAGATGGTGAACAGCTACAAGTTTTGTCTCTGTTACAGAGAAAGACCAAAGGGAACTTGATTTTATAAAAGCTAAGCTTAATTTGAGCACTGTTTTAAGAAAAAAAAAACACACAACAAAACACACAGAACCATACAACTACTAGCTAAAACAGAATTAATTCTTTCCCCATCCAACTAAGGCACACTCTTTGGATCTAGGTAAGACCATGCTTTAAAAACCTCCTCACAAAGCTGTCAACAACATGGGTTCATCAGTCTTCTACCTGATACAGAGATGTCTGCCTCCTAAAATGAAAGGTCTCTACCGGGTCTCTAAGACAGACGTTGATTAGTGGCTTAATAAAGCCTCATTGTTCATTTAGAGATAACGAGAAGCTATATTGTGCTGTTGGATCAAATACTTTATCTGCATTAACTTGAATTCCAAGGTAGAAGCCATATAGCAAAATAAGCTCTATAACATTTAAGATTAGTAGAAAATGCCTGTATGTTCACTCAGTATAATTTGGAAAAATACAAACTGTCTTAGGAAAATTCTCATCACCAACAGTTAAGGGACAAATATTTGCAATTATCTGAGTGGGCATTGTTATAATTCCTTAGGCATACATATATATATATATTTACACACATAGGCTAACTCAAACTTGTTTGCATATTTAGCCTTAATCAGCAAGTAGCACATTCTATATAAACCTAATGTACTGATATATAATTAGGGGGGTAAGTAAACTGTAGACTTTCTCTCAGGTTTTCTCCAGCATAATCCAGAAATCAGCTTCCATGACATTGCTCCATCTCAGTATTATATTTAATTCAGAAATAATCTATTTTACTACCTAGAAACAGTTCCAGCATCCATTATATTTTTATCACAGAAACATCTAGACATTTTACAGCCACTTTACTTGATAATTATCCAATCTGATGACTTAGTTGCAGTATGTCCCAACATCACTGGGTTGGATTAAGGTAGGGTTGGCTCATGCAGATTCAAGTGTGAGATCAGGTGCCAGATTACTTTGGAGATACCATGCTCTGCATCCAGGAGGGAAAAGCTCACTACACAGCTTTGACAGCTCCTTCTTGTGAAAATTTGCTTTTGCACTAAGCAGCAGCAACTACCCATCCTTTACCGGGAAAGGACAGCAATCCTCTCTTGGGAGGAATGAAAGGAGTAAGACAAAGTCATCTCTGAGTAGTCTGTACATGACTTTTTCCCATTAACCCACTAATGAATGTTTGCTTGAAGCTTATGTATGACAAACATGAGCATTTCTTCAAATATACTCAAAAAAATAATTAGCTGTTTTCATGCAGGCGTGCACGCGTGTGTGTTTTTAAAGCTCAGAAAACTGATCCGTTTTCATCATTTTTACTAAGCGCTTGGACTGTCGGACTGGCTGGACTGTTTCAAGTTACCTTTTCCTGGTCCTGTGAGCTGATCTAGCAAGGTGAGACTTCAGCCTTTAAAACACACAAGAAATTGAGTATTTTTTTTTTGAAATTGTAGTGTTTGTAAATATTTACATAACTCAATTTTACTGTCTCATCTAGCAGGATCTGCAGAAGCACCTATGTTTGAATTACTGAATCCACAGCAGGTGAGAGTGTTACATTAGGTGGCAGATTCCTTTCCCCAAGACTAAATACGGCAACATCTGCAGTCTGGAATTCAGCTAGTGACCCACCCTCCCAGTACAGCACAGGCAACATCCCCCCCCCCAGCACTCTGTTTTCCATACAGAAAAGGGCCAGAGAAAATAGCCGTTCACCAGATAAGCTTTCAGGCTACATGTTCTCCTTACCTTGTTTTGCTATTCTCCCACTAAAGTATCTTCTAATAACAGTTTTACTATTTAAACAGGTCTGGTTCTTGTTCTTGTGTCATTGGCGTGCATATATATGTTTACAAAAAATGTCTCCCTTAGAGCGACCCTACAGAGAAATGGGAGAGAAAGCTCCCATTATAGCCAATGCAAAACTATACAGTCAGGCCAAGCGTCCTAGCACATACGCTCTGCTGGTTAAGCGCACATCATTCTACAAGCTTTTTCAGTGCTTGTTTAAGTAGGAATTGTATTATCTCTCTCAAGTTATAATTTACATCATGTTGATTAACTGGTTTAATGATACTATCAGGCATACAAACTATAAACAGAATAGTTCTAAAACCCCTACCTGGGGATGTGAGAGTTGTTAAACTATAGTAAAAAACATATATAGTATTTCTACAGGCCAATGCCAATTCACAGATACAGGAATGTTATTCTATTGATACGGCAAACCTTATTCGCACCTTCAGACTGTAAGCATCTTCTTCAGTTTTTGTTAGTGGCTTTTTGGTTCTTTAATTCAACTAGATGAAAATTTTCTCACCATACTTTGTAGAATATATGGGAAATCACAATGTAATGTCAGGAACATTTGTCACCACTGCCATCAAAAGCTTTAGTCCTGCCCTCCCCGCACTGCTGACAAATCATGCGCCACCTCTTCCCTGCACCGGTGCGAGCGTTCGTGTGGCCCCTCAGTGAAACAGGTTGCACTGCTCTGATCTGGGCTGAAACTAATCGAGGAAGGGCTCAAGAAGCAGCACAGAGGATGGGTGCTCTCTAAATATAGCACATGTAATTAATTTTCCAGTTATGCAGTAAAATTAAAACTGTGTTGTTTTCTGTTTCTCTTAGGGAAAAAAATTAGTAAGAACATTTATTTATCCTCACACTGAAAACAACTTAGGAACTCAAACAATTAAAAGGGTGACTTCTCAAAACAAAAATCACAAGCAGAAACCACAATTCCTTTTCTCTTTTATTGATACTGCCAATGTGACTACCTTTACGCAGGCAGATTGCTTTCCTACAAACACACTTTTTGTATTAATTTGGAAGTAACATTTTGCCCTCTATGCCTCCTAAGGTTATCCAATTAACACACAGTTATACTTTTAAGAATCAGTTTCCACATTTTTCTCTTTAGCAATAACATTCACTTTTTTCAGATCTGTGTAAAGGTTACTTGGCAAGAATACATGCATATGACATTAAATGGAGACCAATCCACCACTAAAAGGTAATGCACATAAAACATAATACAGTACTTCGACATCATCTCAAATAAATACCCACATACAAATGTAGTAATTTTAAATGCAACAATAGTTCTTATGAATCAATACTGTAACAGAAGATGGAAATATAAGTCCCCACATCTAGGAATAATAATGTTTTCTCCAGCAAACAGAAATCTTTTCCCCACTGACAATATTATTTCAATTTGTACTTTTTTTGAGGAGTGGGAAGGCTTCCCCTCAACAAGTACCAATTTAATCATTCACGTGAGCCTCAACAAACAGTACCAAGAGAGGTAGATACAGCTTGTTGATGCACTTTTCTGTTTCTGTTTCCTGAAATTGCAATGATTAGATACAACATGCAAGAGAAGATATTAACGTTCCGTCTTTCACATTTGCAAACAATACTATGGTTAACTGCATCCACCACCATACAAAGCTAACATAACATCAGTATTCCCAATACGTTCTCTGTACTGTAACCACAAATGTGTTAATACATCTTGCTCATTTGTTCGGTATGAGTCCATTTGGTTCCCAAAGTGTATTCGGGTTGGTTTAGGCTTTTTTTTTTTCCCCCCCTCTATGCCCCTGAATTTGCAAGGATTTGCATGATGAAATATCATTGACTAACAGAATTTTTTACAATTTCTTGTATATATAATCTCTATAGTAAGACTACCCATTAAAAATGTGCGAAAGGGGAGTTCACTTTGCACTTATTGCTCCATGTCTTTACTAAATTCCAAAACAGCCATTCCTTTCCTTCTTGTATAGATTAAACTATTCTAACAGTCTCCCTTAAAATTATTAAAGGCACTACTGGCAATAATTAATGACAAAAAGGCGCTGATATGTAACACCCTATCATTGACAACTTTAGAATTTTTCTTTCTAAATGTACCATAATTTGGCACAATAAAATGAAAAAGTAACAAAACAATTCCAATTTGGAATTTAACTGGTATAGTTGTATAAAATTCTGTTAATCAATAATATTTCAACTTCCTAAAACCCAGGAATTCTGGAATTTATAGGTAATACTACTTATTTAATATTTTTCAAGTGCCTATTACTGTTTTAACCAGAGCAAAGTCAAGTTTTCTTCTTGTTACATTGAACTATTCCTAAGAATAATAATACAATATGAAAAAAACCCCAGAATTTGAATACCCTGGATTTCTTAATGAACATGGCAGTTAAAAAAAAAAAAATCAGTAATTTAAACATATAAAGCTTAACATTTCATAATAATAAAAAAAGCTGCTGAAGCACAGCACACGTATAGTTTAGCAGAGCTCCTGGTTTTTGTTGAAACTCTTTCTAAACACAGTCTAGAGCCAAACAAAAAAAAGTCTCTGCCACATGCTGATGTAGAAATCAACAATCACAAGCCCAAATTGGAAAGAAACTATAAGCACAAACCACTGCATTTATATAAACTCTTCTACATAAGGAATTAAAGAAGCTAAAGTAAAATATCAAAATATCAAAAGTGCACAGGTTTAACAATCAGAGAAAAAATGAGCATCTGCAATGACCTGCAAAGAAATTCCCCCATCTGAACATTTCTAGTAGATCAGAAACTAATGTGGTGATCATTACATTTGAAGTAGGTTTCTTCAGCACTTGTAAGTTTTCTTACTGCAGCAGCACTTATAGGTAAAGCTCGTTTGTTTTACAGCTTGAGACATAAAAGGTAAGTTACAGGTAGTATATATAGGAAAAGATGTTTTAAAAAGTTAAGGTCAGGTCAGAGGTTTCCATTCTTTGTGCAACGGGCTACCACTCTTAACCATAATGAAAGAGGCTAAGAAATGCTGTTGCACTGTTGGAAAGGCCTTCTCCGGGGACTACTCTACAGCTGAAAATGGAAAAATAAAATAACATTAGAAAAAAGATTAGTGTTTATTTCTCAATTAAAGAACTGACAATTTTATACAATGTGCTGCCAAAGCTCCATAGCAGGTTAGTTGGTTGAGGGGATCTGTTAGCTTACGAGGGTAGAAGCAGCCGTTTTAGCTTGTAGATGCTTTCCAAGCTGATGAAACGGTGCTTTATGGTTTTAGCCTGGAAGCAATAGCTTTGCAGAAAGAAGGTTTCTTACAAGTACTGAATAAAGCTATGCCGTTCAAGCACAAGTTAACAGCAACGAATGTGCAAAAGGTATTTTCAGTGAAGCTTTAGATTCTCCAGAAACATGCAGGGTCAGTATATCATGCAGGCCAATGCAGAGAACAGTAATCATTCAGAGGAGCCTGCTTGCAGAGGTAGGTGATGGCTTAAGAAGTTTTCCATGCGATATCCCAACCCATTGAAAGTGAAATGAAAGACTTGCACCAAATGAACGCTCCAAGAAATTGTTAATCAAGAGTTACAAGCCTCAATCTTACATATAATCATTACCTAAGCATACAAACAACAGGGTCAAATCACCTTATGCACCATCGCTCATTTCTTTTTTTAACATGTACTAAAAGTCGTCAAACTGTAACCTTGACAAGCTCAAATAGTCGGGTTTCTTGGCTTCTTTTTTTTTTTTTTTTTTTTTTTTTTTTTTTTTAAGATCCACAGAAATGAATGAAGATGAAATGATTACTAAGCCTATTGTGCTAATAGCAAAATTGTTCGTATTTGGAACGAAAAAGGCAAGCCAAGACTGATAGTAATAGTCACTGTCCAATAACACTGAAGTCTTTACAGAAAGTTCCAGTTAACGTGGAAAAAAACCCTAATAATGAACTCAATTAGTTTCTTGAATTTACCTTTTTGCCATTAGTATTTTGTGACAATACTGCCAGAGACACGGAAGCAGTGAAAACCGTATTAAAGCTCCCTACCATAGCGGAAGCAAAATAACTGCTTCTATCGGAGCAAAGAAAGTTAGCAAATGCCTGCTTTTACATGGTATTTTTAAATCACACATGATGCAGGAATGAGAAGAATAAAGGCCTTTCGGAAGATTGTGCAGCAAAGAAGAGAAAAGCAGGATTGAAAACTGTTAAAAGATGTCTTGCTTCTAAAATATCAAACCTGCTACTTAGCAATATTAAAGCTCAAATTCAGGAGAATTCAGTGTTTTCTAAAAAAGTAACAACAGATGCACAGAACCTAGTTTCTAAGGCCAGAATTGCTATTTGTTTAAACATCTCATGGAGTACGTTGCCCAGTTGTCACTAAACTTAAATCATTTGGGTTTTTTTCCCCCCTCAGTATGGGCAAAGGCAATTCCGGCGTCTGAACGTAACATTATAATGTTTCCCAGCCCTGTAGCAAGGTTTTCACAAATCTATTAGGTTTCTTGAAAGTCTCACTGTGTGGATTTCCGACCTCTTTCCCCTCCTCCCCGCCAACATCGGGGTAGCCAAAGCCCCAAGCAGTTTCCCTTCACTGGGGAAACAGGCTGTGCTCCTTATTACCTTATATTAGCATTGTGATAGCTCCTGACTACTTATAGGCAGAGCGGCAATGCACAGGAAGCAAGCTGCTGACCATCTATAAGAAATGGCAGTGAGATGAGGCAGTACTACACCAGCAGTATTAGAATGGCTTCGGAAAACATCACTAGCAAGCAGACAACTGTGCAGTCTCGCGTTGCTTTTAGTAATACTATAGGCATACAAAATTATTTGAAAGAGTACAAAATGAACAGGGTTTTACATTAAAATAAAGTTTGAGGCTAGGCACTTTGAAACTCTGGTTAAAAAAAAAAGTGTGCCTTATTGTGCTCCACAAATTTTCCACAATTTTAGAAGCAACGTTTTTCAATCTCGTATCTTTATCACTTATATAGGCACCAATTATGAAGTACACTTTTACATCATCAAACATATTGAAATTAAGTGGCTAAAAAGGCCCCTTACAAGTTCAATAGCAGACAAAGGTTTGTTTTCCAAGATTAATATGTATACTAAGCTACTTCATAAATATTTATTATTAGCAGGACGATCTGGTTAAATTTCCTGTGCCTATAATGTAGAGCCCTGTAAAACATGTGCTTGCATAAGGAATGCAATATCTTCTGTATATTTAAAAAAAATTATCAGAGCTCTGAAATACTATCCTATAAAGATTAATACTGAAAGCTGAGAAAAATTGTTTTGTAATTGACAATACTAGACCATAGTCACATTAATTCTACACAGATATGTTGTGTGGCTACAGTAATATATAAAAGAGATTCTTTTTGAAGCGTTATGCTGCAAGGAGCAACAGGAGACCACAAAGATCCTTTCAGGACGTGATACTTTTCCACAGCATAACTTCTTAAAGCGGAACTGTCTACCAGGTAGGATCCCAATTCTCAAAATTTTAAGTTTTATATCAGATGGGGTAAATATTGCATATTTTTAATATAAATGTGCAAGTTTCTTCAGGCAAACCCTCCAAAGAGGGAAAAGCAAAGTGTAAATAAAGTATCCTACCATGTTTTTCCAGCTTTTATAGCTTATAAAAGCTTTCAGACTTTGGTCAGTGGTGGTATGACAGCAAGTTTTTAATATCTGCCACAACAGGCAAATTAATTTTGGTTCCAGTTTCGAAATGCTCTGCATTTCCAAGACATACCTCTAATCTTAACATTTGCTTTTCACCACTTCTTAAGCCACACTAACGAGGGAGGTTTTCTGTTTGTTTCTGCCTGTGAAAGCATTTATCGAAGTATGCTGCAACCCTGGAGAAAGGATCACATTTGTGCTATACAAACTACAGTTAGTAACACCAGATAAAGTATATCAGGTATACACTTTTAACACTTACCATAAACAGCAAAACCCATACATGTTAATTGTGGAAAAAACTAATTACTTTCCACTATTAACTTGTTAATAGCATCCCCATACTTATGAATTAGTTACAGTTAAGACCACCATAATACAATCGTATTACCTGGTTTAACAACATACTAATACAAGTCAACTCACTGCGACGTTAGATAGTGGGGATTTACGCTGATAGTTACAGCATAAAATAAGATGCATAATATGATTTTTCTACACACCTCTCCTAGTCACAATAGATTTTATATTTCTCACTACAAAACACTTGGTTGTTAAGGACAGATCCTTCAGACCTGTCTCCGCAGGACCGAACATGACTTACACTAGGGTTACTGCTCTTGGCTTTGGAAGCAGATTTTGTGCGCACCCTTTTGGACTGCTCATGGTCTAGCTCCAAATGCTCCAAGCGTTGGGTAAGGGCCAGTTTCTGCTGGATAGCCATCCGAAGCAGCGAGTTCAGAGTCTTCTTCTCATCTTCAGCTGCTGCAAGCTGCCGCTGCATTTCATCCAGCTGTGTGACATATTCGTCACATCTGCAATGAAATATATCAACTTTTAGCAATCCTGTTTCCATCTATAATCCATGAACCCCTTGTGTCCAGCAGATATGAGTACAGTTTGATAGGTTTGCAGTTGCTTGCATACACACCATTTTAAGAAAGAACTTCAGCCAAACCTGGAGAAAAATATAGTTATTTTCCACTGGGGTTCTTACAACCCGACATTTGGCACTTAGGTTCGTGCCTTTCACATGTAGTATAATTAACAGCATCCCTGGAAAATGAAAGTATGGAGTCTGGTGTAAAAGTACTCATGCCTAAAAATTAACAGTATGTACTAAAGCTAGTCTTCTAGATGTAGTGAGCAGGCAAAATTTACTCTCCTGACTTCCCAGAGAGAGCATCAGTTCTAAGCTTTAGGCTGGAAATAGAGTCAGAGGAACAGCAGGAGGAGCTATAAAATGACCATTACTAAAATGACAATTAATACCATCTGATTATCCTCTAAAGCTCCTACGTCGTTACTTCAGATAGAGAGTCCAATAAGAGATTTCCAGTGGTGACTGAGCAGCATTTTTAAGAAGCAACTTTCACAATTTCACCTCAGCCTACTCTGATTCCTTATATAAAAGGCTATTTATAACATTTTATTACTGTTTTGTCTACAGTAAGCGGCCATTAAGTAATTGTTTTCACCATAAAAATTAATTTTGAAACAATTAACAAAGGAATGGAGTGTTACTGGGAACCCTACAAGGGAAGCTGTATGAATGCCCACAAGCTGTTTTATTTGCGGTCCTTTTCACAGATTTTGGAAGCTATTTAACTTGCACAGTGCATCATATGTGTAGATGCATGTTTACTGCACATCAACTGATAATGTTTATGGATAGAGAAATAAATATCCATAGGTACCAGCCAGAATTTACAATGGCTGCATCCGTAAAATACAACTTCTTCCTAAAAGCAAGAACATCTGCAGAGAAGATCCTTTTAATGTGAAGCTGGAAAAGGCCCTCCCTGACTTTCAGGGAGGTTTATCATCACTGAGTAATATAAAACAGACTGTGGGGGAAGGGGGGGGGCAGTGACACATAGAACAAAACTGCATTCACATGCAGATTTGTCAGCTGTGCTTATAACACCAGGTATCAAAATTTGCTCCTCCTGACTTAAATTTAACAGAATTAGGTCTTCATCCTAATTACATTTACTTGGGAAGGGAACAGAGGAAAGGAGAAAAAAATCCAACTTTCTTTTGGAATACGGTGGAGATTATACAATAACCCAGAAATATTCATATATAACCTGCATGGACTATAACTGCAGTGTAGCTTAGCTTACCAGAAGGCTCTGATTTTAGGGCCACTATGT